AGCTCCCGTTCCAGAGACTGGTGAGGGAGATCGCCCAGGATTTCAAGACGGATCTGAGGTTCCAGAGCAGCGCCGTGTCGGCGCTGCAGGAGGCGGCGGAGGCGTATCTCGTCGGACTGTTCGAGGACACGAATCTGTGCGCGATTCACGCAAAGAGGGTCACCATTATGCCCAAGGACATGCAGCTCGCCAGGAGGATTCGCGGGGAGAGGGCTTAATCTTCTAGAATGTTCCAAAACTATGCTGTTCTCTTCTTAATCAGTCTCTCTATTTGGGTAAATTTATGAACTTTGCTTGGTTTGTGGTGTTTTTCATGATGTAAATCTTTGTGTTCAACTTCTATCATCTAATGATTAATGAAATTTTACTTTTCACTTTGTTAGACTCTCTCTTTATACCCATTTCTCGTATTGCTTGATTGATGTTTTATTATGAATCGAATATTTATGAATTGGGAATGAAACCCGAGTCTAAATTTATGGGGTATATTTGTATTGAATTAGATTTAGTCCATTTTACGATCTGTAAATAGCAAAGGCTGCAGAAATGAAGGGGGGAAGAAGAAGAAGATAGGAATAATTTGGATGGCATAAAGGGGTCCATTTTAACTCAATGGAAAATGAATTTGGACTCACTTCCTCTCTATTTCTATTGCCAAATATATCATTTGTATTTTACTATATCTAAAACTTTTTATCGAGTTTTTAAAAATGATTTGATTAGATTTAGTTTGCATAACATTTTGTAAAATTTTATTGGGGATGATAGTGCTCACACTCCATCCACACACTAACTTCACTCTAGACACCAAATTTACTTCATTAGTTTCAAAATTATTTTAATACTTATTCAAAAAAATTATTTTTAATCCATAAACTCATATAGAACATTTTGCAATTTTAAGATTTTAATAAAAATTCTAGTTTGAGTCATAATACAGAGTACAATAATAGTTTAATACAGAGTATAATAATTTTTTATTCTACTAAATATGGAGTATATTTTATTTATTAAATATGATATCTTTTTAAAATAAAAGTTGTATTTTAATAATAATTCACATTTATTTAATTTTTAGTCTTGAAAATAAATAAAAGAGAATAAGGATGAAATTTTTTAAAGATTGTACTCCCTATAAAATATTTTTAAGTTTATATAACCACCTTTTTAAAATAATAAAATAACTATGTAGATTCAAAATAGTGAAATGCATATTGGTATAATAACTATAAAATAGAAGATTTTATACAAAATTAATAGCAATTCAATGTATATTAACAATAAAAGTTAATTTAATTAATAAAAAATTAAAAGAAGAGGTGCCAAAGTTTTATGACTAAAATAAAAACTAAAATTTATATATTATTTTATTGAAAAGTAATAAAGTGAAATTAATGATGAATAGTTTTAAACATTTATTTATAATATTTTTTTAACATAATAAAGTTATATAACTTTTTTAAATAGTAGCATAATAATGTATTCGAGGTGTATTTTTTATTTGGTTGACGAGTGAGTTTAGTGTTTTAGCGGTGTGGCTATCACCACCCAATTTTATTCTATCTTTTATTGTAAACTTTTATTTTATTAGTTTATAATACAAATTTAATTTAATCAATGATCAAAATTATTTAATTTGGCTAAAATAATCAAATTCAAAGATTATATTGGAGGAAGCGAGTAAAACCTATGGAGTAGCCTTTGCATTTCCACTTTCATAATTAAAAGGTACTCTCTCCATCCTATAATGATCTTCCCGGTTCGCAAAACGAAGAAAAATCTTAAGTTTTTTCAATCTATTTTATTTAAATATTGATATAGAAATAAAAAATAAAACATACATATTTAAAAACTACACCAAAAGTTCAACAAAACAAGTGGTGACAAGAATATTTTATTTTATCATATAGGCCATGAAAAAACACAAATAAATATAAATTCCCGTGAAGTTGGAATAGTACTCTGGGAAGATCATTATAGGACGGAGGGAGTATTATATTTTTATTTCATGTTTATTCAAGAAAAATTCACCTGAATTATGTTGTATAGTTGAGATGTAAATTCCATCTTAAATCGGAAGTGGAGAAGAAAAATATCCTAAATAAATATATATGGTTATCAAACTTTGTTAGTATGGAAACTTTTGGGAGGTGACTAAAAAAAATATGCTAAAGCTTGTCCGAGAGCGAACAATATCTTGGAAAAAAGATTAAAGAAAAGTAAAATATTGAAAAAAACAAAATAGGAATTCTATATTTTTATTTTTGAAATGTGAGTTAAAATGCGTTTACGTTACTAATTATTGTCATGTACATTACCAACAAGTATAGTAAAATGTTTATGCACAATGCCATATTACCACTGTGCGAATTCCTATTTAAGATGATTTCTTCAATATCATACTAGTACAGAATTAGGGTGATGGTACACGTGATCCCAACATTTGGTATCAAAAACCTGGTTCGTGTAGGCAAGAGTGGTGGATTGCGTTTTTGGAGTTCTCGGTGTGCATACAATATGACTAAAAAAGTAGATTTTCAAAAAAAAACCACATACATTTATCTTGATTAATTAATCGTGTCAATCAATAGTGAAAATAGATACTCTGAAAAAAATAGATTTTTAGAAAAAAATACTCTCTTCATCCCAAAATGAATTTCACTCTCACTAATACAGTTTGTCGATAAATTTTACCTTTTTGTGTGCTTTCATTGATCATTAGATAAAATAAAGTATTCACCTCTTGTTTTGTAGAGTTTATGATGTTTTGAATGGTGTACTTCATTTTTTTTATTTTTATACCAATTTAAAATTAAAACAATTTTAAAGAACAAACGTTTAGAGCGTGATATCCAGTGTGGGACGGATGGAGTAGAACTTAAAGAACGTAGTTGATATTAAGTTGATGTTTTTGTGGTTATACATTGGTACAAACAACGTATAAGCTATTTTTTTTACTTATATGTAAGTCGATGACATGTTTTCTTTATGGTTAAAAGCTGATATCTGCTTATAAGTAAAAAAAATTGGTCTTACCAACTTATTCTCAAGCTAGTTCTGTCATTTCTCCGTTCTGACCAAATTATTTACAAAATTATCCGCCATCATTTATGAATATCCTCAAATGGCTTATATATCATTTAAGTCATTTTACTTCCACGAAAAAAAGCTCAACGTATAAACACTACCATGGAGAAATACCCCCTATATTTGTAAAGCTTGAATTGATTGAGTAGTGTAGTAGTTGATCTTGCCATGATCACCACAATTATGTTCTTCAACTGCAGCCATGGAGACATGATGGAAAGTGTTGTGAGGAAACAAGCTAAGCAAGCCCAGCATGATCGACTTGTTGGAGTTAGGACTGCAACACCAATCTTGCTCCACTGATATAAACTTTGTATTCTATATTCCAGCATTGTACCTATATATATACATGTCTATATTCCAGCATTGTAATAATAATTACCACACCAGGTAGCCTGCGAATCGATTCGAGGATGACGAAGAGTAGTTGGGTGTGGGCTGTGGTGGCGGCGGCGCTGATGGGGAGTCTGGTGCAGGAAACCCAAGGGGCCCCGCCTTGCGGGTCCACTTTTGTCTCCGCAATCGTCCAGCTCTTGCCGTGTAGGCCGGCGGTTTCCTCCTTTCGGCCCTTCCCACCCAGCGAGGCTTGCTGTGCTGCCCTCCGGTCTCTCGGGCAGCCGTGCTTGTGCAGCATCCTCAGTGGGCCTCCCATTGTCGGAGTTGATCGCAACATGGCTCTCCAGCTCCCGGACAAATGCACTGCCAACTTTGAACCCTGTATGTAAATAGAATCTACCCATACATATAGTCTAATTATGTTTGAGTGAGTCTGTTTTGACACCAATCCTGTTGGCGTTATACGGCGACACCACTTCAATTGGGCACCTACGGTGCTCCGTATATAAAATTGACAGACGAAATAAGCAATTAAAGGGGAGGTGCAGGGGCTGGGAGGTTACAGGGTAAGATCTGTCAATTTAACAAATGGAGCACCATAAGTGTCCCAATTGAACTGGTGTCGGAGTATATAAGATGGCAAGTTACTCATCCCAAATTCTACAATAAAGCCAGGGACAGAAACTGGGGATGTTCTTCATGCTACTTGAACTAAGATTGTGATGGGGTGTTTTTTTAACTGTGCAGGTGAAATGGGAAAGTAACATCGCCCCGGAATGCGAAAAAAGCTGAATCGGAAGATGATGTGATTACACATGGAAGGGGAGGGCCATTTGGGGTTCTAATTATCAGAATAGATATAGAGATGATAAGTTTCTGGCACAGATGATTATTGGTTATTAGATTTAGCCTTAAACTTGAATAAAGTGACTGTAAGGTTAGCCTATCTATGAGTATGTTACTCCTCATGTTTCCTTTTACTTTTGTCATTTTCACTATTTGAATGACAATTCAAATTTCATTTCCATTAAACACTTGTTGCAATAGTAAGGTGCATTTGTATTACAACAATTACAAGTGGAGTTTGTGAAGGGTGGGTGTAAGCAGAATAAACTTATCCCACGATTTATTGACCTATTGGAAATATTTATAAAGTACATCAAAGAAAACTACTTCGTAACATTTAGCAAAAATACATCAGACGTTCTATTAAACGGATAGTAAGATGACTATTTATTTATAACGAATCATTACAACTTTAAGTTCAGGAAGAAAATGTAGTTTGACCAATGCCAGGTAAAATGGATTATAGTACTGCTTTATTGAATTGTGTGTTAATAAAAGTGCGCACTCTTTGTGAGCAAGTATGGAACTCCTCCTAGCAAGAAAAAAAGTTCCAGATAATAATGTTCACATCTTCATGCGAACGTACCATCTTCAAGGCCTCAAAGTGTCTAAAAGCCCAAACAGAGAAATCTACATATGGATAGACTAAAATGGCTTAGCGGGTACCTCACACAGCAGAAGATGCCACAAATTGCTTGAATCTTCATGATTATACAAATTATCTTGAACCATTTCTGCCAAGAACCAGTCCTGCTAAGAAGATCTACAGCACCCAGATGAGCTCCCAGCTGACACAGGTTCGTCTTGTCCAGGAACAACAATTTGAGTTCCCTTGAGAAGTGCTGAACTGCCAGCAGATTCTCCCGTGTCCTCTTCATTGGTGACAAGAGAGTTTTTGCTGACAACACGATAAATCTCAGTCAGAAGGTCGAGGAAAGCCGTCTCAACATTAGTCGAGTCAAGTGCAGAAGTTTCAATGAAGAACAGGTTCTCCTTCTCGGCATACTCCTTGGCAGCCTCTGTGGATACTTCTCTATCACTCTCAAGGTCTGTCTTGTTACCTACGAGTATGACCACAAGGTTCTTGTCAGCATGATCTCGCAGTTCTTCCAACCACCTCACCACATGTTCGAATGTTTGACGTTTGGTAATATCATAGACCAACATTGCTCCCAGTGCACCCCTGTAGTATGCACTCGTCACTGCTCGGTACCTGAACATTTTAATTCTTCCTACATTAAACCTTCATTTCATCATATCAATTTCAGGTTTTTGTTGATACACACTTTATTTCTAAATTTCTATAACACAAAAAGACTATGAAATATAAATGTATGCATAACTTCTGATCAGATTTGATTATCATTCTCATTTTCAAGATTAAACGCAAGTAAAAAAAATTTGTTTAGAATTCTCCATCTTTCCCCACTATTTTCTGCATGACCAAGGAATCGTTGGAGTTTTAGAGACTTGAATTGGCATAAAACTCTTTGGTCAGCTGTGAAAGGCTATTAAGTTTGCCAGAAGAATATGACATATAATGTTTGCCAATTGCAGCCAAGTAGTAGAATCTGCGTGGGCGTACATTTCTCAGCCTCAATACAGAGTAGTTGACTAGGCTTAGAATGAACGAATCGGAGACAACTAGGTCACAAGAAGGAGTTGGAAATCCGAGATAGAGTTTCATGAGTACATTTAGGCATACTGAGAGATACATGTGTAGTAACGGAAGCACTGAAGCATAGAAGCAAATAAGATACTCATATGGGTTGATCATTAACAGAACACCATTAAATCATTAATTTAAATTGTATTTCAGATTTGTGTCTATTTACGAATTCTGGTTAGCTTGCAGTAATATGAAACCCAGTTTCAATGCATACTGAGTGGTGAAGATCTGCCAAGAAGCTGATATATATCACAAAATTAAGCTCTAGTCTTTCCTACTCGCGAAATGAGACAATCTAATAAAGTTAATCAAAATCAATGAAGATCATCTAATAAAGTTTAGATCAAATAGCATATAAATCCAACAAATCAAACTAGTGCCAAACACATGCAGCCAAATTAGCAAGAGTAGTTCCTGTTTTAGTTTATTTATCACACAAACCTTTCTTGGCCGGCGGTGTCCCAAATCTGAGCCTTGACGCTCTTCTGATCGATGACTACAGTCCGAGTCTGGAACTCAACTCCGATGGTGGACTTGGAGTCGACGCTGAAGTCGTTCCTGGCAAAGCGCGCCAAGAGCTGCGACTTGCCGACGGCTGAGTCTCCGATCAGAACCACCTTGAGCACGTAATCAATCTTCTGGTTGAATCCGCCGCCGCTGCCGCCGCGGCTACCTCCTCCACCGTACATCCTCGACATCTTATGAAAATAGGCGAAGAGTCGAGATCGTTAGAGCGACCGGAAGGTTGTGAAACTCAGTCTGCCGTGTGGAATTGAAAGGGAGGTAGATTGTGTATGACGAATTGTCTGAGTGGAAGTGTTGCCGGAATTGAAGGGGTGAACTGAGCTGACTCGGTTGTCTGAGGCGCTTGACTTGGTGGCGAATTGGAGAGAGAGAAAGAGAGAAACCCATCCGCGTCCCCCGGCGCGACTAACGGCTTTTTGTTATTTAAAGAAAAAAGAATTTTAATACTCCTAATCAATTACTCAACATGTTACTCTCAAAAATTAATATTGTTTGCATACTCCATTTTTCTTAACATTGTTTCATTGGATGACTCCAAAGTCGTACGATATTTCGTTCGTAAAATTAATGGTTAAATAGTTTTTTTTTGGGTGAAATTTGCACTAAATAATACTAAAACATATCCTCATTCTAAAATTAACTTCCTAGTTTGACTTTTGCAGTCAAACTTTTTAAACATTGACAGTATATTATAGAAATATATACTTCTTATTTCTCCTAAAAGTTAAAATAATACTCCCTCCGTCCTATTTTAAATTGCATGTTTGCCTTTTTTCTCCGTTCCAAAATAAGTTGTCTGTTAGTTGTTTTCCTAAACTTTTAAAAATAAAATACCTAAATTACCCCTAAAATAAGTCATACTTTTTCACTTTATCTTCTTATTCATCATCACTCCTCCTAAAAAGTAATGTCAATTTTGGAAAATCAACTCTATTTTTTATTTTCCTTAAATATGCCTAAAAGTCAAAACAAGTAATTTAAATTGGGACGGAGGGAGTAACTATTTTATGAAACCGAGAGAGTATTACTCCCTCCGTCTGAGAGACTTTTATTGGTCAAATTTTGTAAACTTTGACTACAATTTGTGGAAAAAACACATTGTATTATAATGTAAATTTAATATCAATATATTTATAATAAAACAGAGTTTTCAAATATCAAATTTTTGTAAAATATATCTATGTATAAATATAGATAATAATGGTCAAAGTGCAATATTGGAGACCGTGAAAAGTCAAATGAAAAGAATATTTTCGGACGGAGGGAGTATTTTTCAGTATCTTCTGCATCACTTTAGACTTTGTTTCAAGTCAACCTGATTTTGTTTTTGGAAAGTAGGGAGTATAGGAAATTCATATAATAAATAAACACTTATAATTCACAAATTATAAAATTTATTTTGTATTTGTGTGGGAGTAAAAGTGTAAAACCGAGCTAGCTAGGAGTAGGGAAAAAGCGCCAAACAGAGGAAGAAGAGAAAAAACCTGCCATATAGACATGGCATCTGGCTTGAAAACCCTAATCCCCAAAGTTACACCTCTTCATCTCTGGTCCAGACCTTCTCCCTCCCGCCCATTTCGCCACAAATTGAATTTACCCATCTCGCGATCTGCTTCCCTCTTTTATCCCCTGTGCTCACTGAGTAAGCACCCCACTTTAATCCTCCCGTTCTAATTTCTTTCCGGTAGAAATGGGGATCTGAAACTGGATTGTATGAATTGGGGGTAAATCGGAGCCAGTTTTTCTTTTCTGGGTTAAAAATATTTATTCGTTCTGATTTTCAGCAGGAAAAAACTGTGACGGAGCTTTGCCGAAGGGAGTTGGTGAGGCTGTTAGTGGAGCTTCAAAGAATTGTGTTCTTCAGGTGGTTTTAGTTTCTCCTCAGGTTGGTTGCAGAACTTTGTACGCCTGAATTGTGTTCTTCGAGTTTCTCCTCATTGAATAGCACTTATTTTCAGCACTGCTCTGTTTAATTCAATGTAATAATATTCACTTCAGTAAACTATTTTCCTGTGTTTGGTAGGCACAACAGTTTCTTCCGTTTGTTTTTTTGTTGAGGATATAAAAATCCTTTCTTTTGCGGAGAATTCAAAAATTAGTTTCCCGCCTCATCGGGAAGATTTGTTTTGCAGTACTATTTCGGAGTCATGTAAAGCACTGGAAAGTTATATTGAATATTTTATTATTTACTTCCTTGAAGTTTGCCAAGCACTGGAAAATTATATTGAATTTTTTATTATTTACTTTGGAAAACCTTCCCATGGAAATCCATTTTCCTTGAAAATAGATTTTCTATGTAGCAAACACTGCCCAGAATCTGGCTTTTGATCTCTTCCCTATGATAGATTCCTGGAAATGTTGGGAGTATTGCAAGAACATGTGCAGCGTCAGGTGTGAAGCTCCACCTGGTTGAGGTATACATATTGATTTTACAGTGTGGTAGATATTGTTTATTTATCAGTATTCAATTTCTTAAAAGCAAACATTCAAGTCAACTATTATTAGCATTGTCCCTTTTCAGCCATTAGGATTTTCCATTGATGATGCAAAGCTAAAGCGTGCGGGACTCGATTACTGGCCGTATCCTTTGCAACACCCAGTCATAGTGTCATATTATTGGGCCATCTATCAAGGAACACATCATCATGACTATAATCCCAAATATTTTGGGGTCAGTGACATAAAGATAAAATTTAGTGACTATTAATTGTCTAAACCTTTTTAACACTAGATTCACACACAAAGCATAGTGGCAAAGTTGGTTGGCGCTCACTTTGCAACCTTGTAAAGAAGGAATTAATGAATAATAAGATGAAATATCTAAGCCTTCATTATCATATGTTTTTTTCCCACTCATTGAAAATACCATGAGACAACAATGAGTTGATATAATTGCCAATTTGCTAGTCATGCCACATTCTACCAAAATTGATATTGTAGAATCAAGGTGTACATCATGGAACATGATCGATCTTTTGTCAAACCCTACACGGTAGATTTTAGTTTTAGTCATTATTAGAAGAGTGATTTGCTTATACTAAAGTATTCAACTTTTAACTCTCAAATCCAGATATGTTGTTGTGAGAGTGCATAAGTCATGGTCTGAATTTCTGGACTATTTCAGCAGACAGGTCTTTCATATTCCCCTCATATCTTAATCTGTGATATCAAACCTCTTCATTTTTAAGTGAATTGGAAACTAATGTGCATATATATTTCCTTTACAGACCGAGGAAAAGAGGCTTCTGGCATTTACTAAAAGAGGAGCAGTCATCCATTCAGTAAGTTGAGTCGTTGGGTTCATATTCTCCAAATTGGAAATTTCAATGGAACATTTGGTCATTTCTATGCTCTGTTTGCCTTGGAAAAGGACTCAGAAATAATAATCTCGTGGCTCTCGGCAAAATACATGTGTTACACCATATTTGCTGAATTTGAAGGGGTGACATGTATGATTTTAGGAAGCACATAGGGGCTAGCAGTGTATTCCATAAATTTCAATGATTGAGTAGTATTTTCTTTTATAGTTTAGGGCCCATTTGGGATGAGGGGCAAATGATTTCCGGAAATTGTTTCCCCATTTTCCAGTGTTTGGTTGTTCTGGAAAATAGAAGTCAACAAAAAATGAGCCGTGTCTTGAGGAAAATGATTTCTGCTTTTCTTGGCGGAAAACATTTTCCACCCTTCTCCTACTTATATCAAAACTCACCACATTATATCATGTTATAACCACAAAAACTAGTTTTTTCATTTTCCAAACTTTCAACTAAACATCCCAAAAATGAATTTATTTTCTGAAAGTCGTTTTCCAAAAACCATTTTCTTTCTTTTGAAACGGACCCTTAATGTAGAATGGGTTTATGATTGACAGTGGTGGATCTAGGGCAGTAGTAAGGCAGGGGTCAATTTTTTAAAGCACTTTTAAATTATGATGGAAAAGGATAATTTTTTTTATATCAAACTAGTTTAAAATGAGTAAAACAAAATATTTCCAAAGTAGGTAAATAAAAAAACATTTCAAAAGTAGAAAATATAGAGCTGAAGGAATTATGTAGTATATCATATTTAATATGACTATAATATAGAACTGAAGGAACTATGTAGTATATCATGTTTAATATAACTATAATATTACAAATATTTTTCCTTTATATTCTATTTAAAAAATTTCTTTTCTTTTGGAATTAATTTTGTTTTATTGGGGCACAAATCTTTTTTACTAGGGGCATGTTTTTTTATTACTGGGAGCACGATTTTAATCTACTAGATTCTTTTTTTTAATTTTTACATTATATATCCAAAAACATTGACCGGGGGCGGCTGCCCCGACAGCATAAGGGTGGATCTGCCCATGTTTATGAAGCATCACGCACTTTGATAGTAATTGATACTTGTGTGTTCTTGGTTAGCCTACCCTAAGGGTCCGTTTTAAAAAGAGAATATAAAAGATAATTGGGAGTGACAAGTTGGGTGACAATAAAAGATACTCTCTCTATACATGTATTAATGTATTATAAATGTACTTCAAACTCATTTTATTTATTTATATATATTATATAAAGATTAGGATATTTAAATACATTTATATCTTATACCATTAATCATCATCCAACTTAGAACCAAGCATACAAAATAACTTGGCATATCTCTAGCCTCCCTTTAGTATTTTTGGTTATTTAAACATAACCTCAATGGATAAAGTGGAAACTTGTCAGTTGTGTGACACTGGGGAAGAGGGCTAGTCTCACACTCTCACTCTCCCTTGCATGTGGATCTAAATGTTATGTTAATGCTCTTTTTTTGTGTGAAAGAAATGGTATGTTAATATCTTCAATGTGAAATGATGGTCAGGACTTTTGCTACAAAAGGGGTGATTGGCTAATATTTGGCTCAGAAACTAAAGGGTTGCCGCCTGAAGCCGTGCTTGATTGCACGAACAAACCTCTGGGTGGTGGGGCGCTCCGCATTCCAATGGCGGAAACATATGTCAGGTGTTTGAACTTATCCGTAAGTGTTGGCATTGCTTTGTATGAAGCTTCTCGACAACTAAACTACGAGCAACTCCAGTCCTTGCCAGAAGAACCTTGCATGCATAAAGATACATCATTCGCTAAAGAAGACATTTTCGCCTGATCTGTCTTGTTGGGGTCCTCAATCCTCTCGGAAAGACTACCTCTACCCAAACAAGAGGTAAGTTCCACAAGGCTTGTACCATTAAAAATAAAATCTAATGTCAACGAATTAACTCAACTAAACGCTCAAGTTTGAGTTTAAGCAAGGTTTTATACTGTAAGTCTGTAACATGCCCCTCACTTGGGGCCTTTAATCCATAAGGAGGGAGTAGATCAGCCCCTAGTTCTGGGTCACGTGGGGTGGGGCCTTAGAAACTCGGCAGGGGCGGCACAATCCTGATTCCCGTTCCGGTTTTATTTTATTTTTATATATAAAAAGTGTTAAATAGTTTACTTTGTAGTAATATTTTTGTCTGTAGATATCGTGAATTGGCCTTAAAAATAGTGAACCAATCTTGAAAACAAACAAAAAAGTGAACCGGAATTGCTGGTTCCAAAATGTTAGAACCGGAACCCTTTCCCCTCTGTGGTTCGTGTCCGTTTCCTTGTGCCCTGCCCCACCGGTCCGGTACTGGTACCAATTCCGAACCGGAACCTTGTCTACCCCTATTCCCAACCCAAGGCCCTACTCATGACTGAGATAAATAGAGTTTGTTTGGTTAGGTTTGGTATTGCCCTCTTTGATATTACAGTTGAGACGACAAATGATAATTTTTGCATAGCTGGAGTTGTTTTATTAAGTTAAACAAAGCTGATAATGACTCCAAGGAACTACAAACACTTTGATATACTGAATTAATCGGTCATTGCCTTCTTCTCTGTTCTCGGACTCCACATGCTCAGAGGTAATGTGGGGACACTCTGTTCATGTACGAAGAAGTTGTCGGGATCAACTTTGGTCTTCACAAGGACCAATCTTTCAAGGTTACCCTTATAATATTGCTTCCCCCAAGGCACAGCCTGATTGTAGCTAGCATTTCCATTCTTGTTCGTCCCCAGGTCGAGATCTCTGTAATTCACATATGCTTCTCTGGGAGATTTTGATGCATAATCGGCCATGAAACCGTAAAAATCCCTCATCCAATCCATGTGTTTCTTTGCAGATTCTTGGGAGTCGTCGTTCCAGAGAGTTAGGTATTGGATCATGTAGATGACGCCTTTTCTGTGTGGGAATGGAGTTTGGCATTCCGGAATCTTCCCCATCATTCCGCCGTAGGGGTTCCAGATCATCAACGGCGAGTCCTCTTGCAGGAGCTTCTTCCATATTCCTTCCAGCCCGGTTTCCGGGACCGGTTTTCTGACAAAATCTGATTTTGCTTTGAAGTAGTTCTTGAATTGAGATGTCCCCTGGAGTAGGACTTCCGGCGGGGTGTTTGTTGGGAATCCGGCGATGTAGAGGACGGATTCGATCCAGCTCATCTCTATGCAGTCTTGCTTGGTTAACCCCAGCTCTGGGAAACTCTCTCCCATGATCTGTAAAAGCCTTTCGGATTTGCCCAGAAACAGCGCATTGTAGGCCGTTTGGACCGTCCTCTGCCCTTCTCCCGTGCCTTTTGTTGCAAAATTATGCAGAAGAGATGAAGAGTGATAATTAGGAAATGAAATCACTGAAAAAAGACCATAGTTCTTTTGACACTGGTTTTGGATTTTATAACATGATACCAGGGCGCTAACATGCATTATTTTGTCCAGGATATGACTCTATCCCTTACCCATCTCCAAACCCAAGTACCCAACTCATAGCTCCCTAGCGTTTTTCTCCCAAATGTTTTAGTGCTACTGTATAGGAATGATATGGTATAATTTTGTCTCAAATGACTCGGTGTCAAAAGAATTGGGGCTAAAGGCCACAGTTCTTTTGACACTCATTTTTGGTGTCATAATATGACATTGGGATACTATGGGGCGTTGTTGCGTTCGGGGCCTAATCCTATCTCCTACACACCCTGCAAACCAAACGAGTACCTATACCATACATCCGGAGATATGATATTTTTTGTACATCCGCATGAATACTCATTTTCGAGTAACTAAATACTCTTTTTTGAGTAATTGAATGCTCGTTTTTGAGTAATTGGATATTTATTTTCAAGCATAGCTAAATTTTAGAAAAATGATTATTCAGTTACTCGAAAACGAGTATTCAGTTGCTAGTAAATTAGTACTCGCCGCAGATGTACGAGAAACATCATACAACTGGTTGTACTTTATATATTGCGGTTAGGGTTTAGGGGTAGAACGGTCTTGGATAGTAAAATCCCGAAATGGCTTGGTGTCATAATCCATAACGCATGGTGTCAAAAGAACCGGCCAAACTCAAAGCCACAAAATGAAACAAATCTCTCCCAATATACCATTGACCACCGATATGACCACCCTGATGAACAGTTCTTCCGGGAGCTTATCGGCCACATTTTGCCATTTGTACAGGATTCCGGTGGCGCCCTCCACCAGGGTTTTGGGGACAGTGAATACGGTCACCACAGAAGGCATGGGAACGAGGCTGAGCTTCCACGACAGTATGATTCCGAAGCTGCCACCGCCACCGCCCCTAATCGCCCAGAAAAGATCCTCTCCCATGGCTTGCCTGTCCAGAATCCTCCCCCTGGCGTCCACAATCCGAGCGTCTTCAACGTTGTCAGCTCCGAGACCGTACTTTCTCATCATCGGACCGTACGCTCCTCCGGTTATGTGCCCCCCGATTCCCAGGCTGGAACACAGACCCGCCGGGAAGCCCAGATTCCCGCTCTCCTGTGAAATCCTGTAAGGCCCAAATAGTTTCTCTGTTTTTTTAAATTGGTGCCAATTTGATCCTTCTGTCTATTTAAATAGTATGCCCAAAGTTTTTTTTTGCATGAAAAATCTAATAATATTACCCTGGATTATTTTTTATTATTATATGATGCATATCTCATTTAATTGATGATTGATGGTTTTTATTGAAAAGGCAAAAAAATATAAAGGCTAAAAAATGTATAGATTGAGAAAATATATTTTACTCCACAAAATACTATAATTGAAATAGAATTATTAATGCTAAAAAATGTTTTTATTGAAAAGGTTAAATTGAATGAATACAGTGGGATGGGGACGAGGGAGTATGTTGTATTTGAACCAAGGAGAAAAACATATTCAAGCCAAAAAGAAAATGCCAAGAAAATATGGATTAATTAATATTTGAAATATATAATGCATGCCTGTAATATGCCTCCCCGACAGTGGCGCCCACTTGGGCCCAGGCAATGTTAGCCGCGGCGTCAACCTTGACCTCTCTCAGATTAGAGAGGTCAAGGACGACGAACGGCGGTTCCATTCCAGAAACATAAGAGAGGCCTTCGTAGTCGTGGCCCCCGCTCCGGACTCTGAGCTGAACGCCGAGTTGTTTCGCGCAAATGACCGCGGCCTGGACATGGGACTCGGCGGGTGGCTTGAAAATAAGTTTTGGTTTTGGGGCGGACGGGACCAGGTACCGGAGATTTTGGGCGGTGGATTCGAGAACGGTAGGGAATGAAGCATTGCTAGGGGTGAAGAAAGCTGTGGAGAAGGGGGCAGAGAAATTTGAGTTCAAACATATGCACTTGTAGAAATCCTCTTGGATAGATGATGATGAAGAATTTGAGAAAGCAAAGCAATGTGTTGATGAGAAAATTAAGAAAATAGTGATAAGCCAATACTTTAAGATTGCCATTTCTTTGGTGAGGTTTGTGTGTTTTGGTTATGGTTATGGTTAAATTAGGTATTTATATATACACACAAATAATGACATGATTGAGTGGGAGTTTTGTGGTGACTTTGCTTCACTATTACTTTTTTACGGTTCTCAATACTCACCTACGATCGTAATTTTTAAATCGGTAAAAATTACATTGTAGTCTTATGCAATCGTTTTCTCAAGATTCTTTTAATTTTGTTCCACGCACTTCTAATTGTAATTTTCATTCTTTAGCTTCAACTGTCTATGGACAAGACAACAAATTGTATTAAAATTATATTTCTCCTGATGGCTTAAACAAAAATTACTTTGTATTAATGACATTTGGAATATACTAGCGGATTATTCATAATTTCAAGTTTTATCAGTTGCCTTCTCTTTCCATAATGCCCATTATGTATTGACTTTGCATCCCACATTGTGGCTTAAAGATTGGAGTTTGTTTCTTGGCCGACTCCTAATGCTTTTGAGTGTAATGGAGCACAACTATATCTATTACTTCAAGAAAACTTACTACTTTCACCATGCTTTGAAGTCAAATTAAACCGTTCCCCGTTATTCTTTTTGAAAAAAATTAACAAAACAAACAATATTATATACAGGGCCGGTCCTGACATTTTATGGGCCTTAGGCCAATTAAGTAAATAAAAAAATTAATATGTACCTAAACAAAATAGTGCTCGATTTTATAGATAAAAAAGAAGTTAGACTAAGTGTGTTGGCTGGTTGTTTAAAATGTTTATTAAATTAGATATTTGCAAATAGGTCTTTTGAAATGTAAAAATAAAAAAAAATACATAAGGTATATATATATATATATAGTTTAATAAAAAATTTAATATGTACCTAAACAAAATATGCTCCATTTTATAGATAGAAAAGAAGTTAGACTGAGTGTGTTGGCTGATTGTTTAAAATATTTATTAAATTAGATGTTTGCGAATAGCTCTTTTGAAATATAAAAATAAAAAAATATACACAAGTTATATATATATATATATATATATATATATATATATATATATATATATATATATATATTGATGTGCAAAAATTGCAGGGATGCAACCACGAAGGGAAGTGATTGTTCCGAGGAATAAATTTGTATCTTTTGTGAATTGTAATTAGTTTTTTTAGGTGAGCGTTTTATAAACTTTTTCGAGGATTTCTTTGTGGTTTTTTGAACCGTCAGAATATTAAATGTAGTTGTAATATTCAATTTTCTTCATTTAAATAACGACTACATTATTAGAATTTATAAAAACCTATAAATTTCTTTTACATTAGATATAATATTATATTATTCATATATTAGATATTTAGATTTAGCAAAATATAATAATAATTGAGAACCGGCCTGGAATTGGAGCAGGAATCACCGGTTCTGGAATCGACTAGGGGACTGGTTATGGTTCCATTGGGCGGCGGTGCCAGAGCCTCTGGTTTCGGAACCAAACCGGAATCGCACCATGTCTTGCCCTACAGACATCCAACATATCAAACATTTTTTACAAAGAAATTCCCACCCAAAGGAGTTAAATTGATAAAAAAGACACAAATTGGAGTGTTATCCGTTATTTTTTTCATTCCTTATTTGCCCCTCTACCTAATCAATCTCTCAATGATGGAGCAACTATAGTGACGACAGTAGACTCTAACCGGTTGTGGAGATGGATTTTTATAGAAACATCATAATTTTTCTTTCTACAATATGGGTGGACCTCTGCCACGGTGACTTCCTATTTAACCAGAGGGGGAAGAGAGTTCTGGCTACGGCAAATCTGAGAGTTCTACGACGGCGGGGATGAAAGATCCTGGCAGCGACGTGAATCTCTTTGGTCATATATAGTAGGCGCAAAGTTGAGATTTATAAAAAAAAACCTTCCAATTTTGACGACGACGAATTCGGGAATATGGCTGCGATAAAGTTGGTAGTGTGGCGGTCAAGGTGATTCACATGGTGGCAATATGACGGTGGCGGCAAAGCGGGCAGTGTAGCGGTAGAGTAAGTAGTGTGACGGCAGTGGTGATGGCAGTACATTACTGGCGGTTTAATGATGGAGTTGGCAGTGTGGTTGAGGAGTTAGAAGTGTGGTGGGCGAGTTGGCAATGTTGTGGAAGGAGTGGTGGAGGTAGTATGGCAAGGGAGGGTGACAATTTGGCAGTGGCTGCGGAAGGTGGCAGTGGTGGTAGAAGGTAGCAGTGTGACAGTAAAGTATGATAGTGTGACAATGTAATTTAAAAAAAAGGATGAATTTGTTACTTAATTAAGAAATAACTATTATTTATGTCTAAAAAATATAATGCTCCTACTTTGGGCATTTCACTCCTGTTATTATTGTCCTTCTCTCTTTTTAATAATTAGTCAATACGCTCAGTCGACCAAACGAGCTAAACTAATTAGTCATTGAGAACAACTGACATTTACAGTAAATATCTAAACAACACCATAATATTGCAAAGTACTAAAGTGTTACTCCCTCCGTCCACTAAAGCGCTTCCAATTTTGACTTTTTTACTCAAATAGTAAACCTTTTGACCAAAAATTATAAAAAATATATTTAACTAGGATTTGAACTCAATATAGTTGGGTTTATGTTATAAAATATCTTTGAAATATCAAATTTATTTAACATTAGTTTATTTAAATTATATTTAGTTTATGATAAAAAAGTTTCACTACTTGTCTAAAAAGTTCAAAACATAATGAAATTTATAGGACGAGGGAAGTATTATTTTTGATAGATCACGAAAATGTGATATTATTTGAGCTAATATTTCCAAATTTAAAAAGGTTAAACGTTCCATAGTGGATTGGGCTAGGCCCGCTCTATGGAGACAAGGCCCAACGGATCTCTCAGCCACCAAAATGATTTCTTGTGCACTCTTCCAACTATTCATAGTATTTCACTCCCCCTCAACAACTTCTACCTTCAGCACATACGGCCGGAACTCCACCGCAGCCTCACCGTAAACCTCTCTTCCCCGCTTCGCCAATCCGGCGGAGCTCTAGATTGACTACTAGCTAAGCGTAAGCTTCGCGCTTACTGAAATCGGGGTAATAGTTTCTCAACGTCTTTGTTATTTTTTTAAATTTTGTTTTTGAAGTTTGTTTTGCTCACTTCATGGCTCATGTTGAGTAATCTGATTCATATTTTGATGTTTCTTCCTGCTTTGATATCGATTGAGCCAATCATTTCTGTATTTTTATTGTCTGATGAAGATTGAGCATTTATTGAAGCGATTATTTTTGTGTTTTGCGAAAGGTAGGAGCTCTCAGTTTTATTCAAAATGCAAAAAAAAAATTGTATTTGACTGGTTTCATGTAGGATATACTGGATAAACCTCGTCTATTTCATTAAAGTTTTTCATTTTGTTTGGTTTAAACTGTTTCTCATTTAGTTTTTTTTTGTGATTGCTTCTTACTTAATAGACTAGAGTTACGTTTTGTTCCATGCTCAAACAATCCAGAGATATAGCAACAAAGCTGATCAATGAGTTGATTAGTTATTGTTTATTTTTTATACAGGGATTGGAGATGGCGGGAAAGTCGAACAAGGGGAAGAGTAGGAAAGTACAAAATGGCACTGCAACCACTGAAGTTGTGTTGTCATCCGATGCTCCTGTAAGTGATTCTGTAAGTTTGGAGGCGAATGGAAATTCAGAAATCAGTTTATCAACAGATACCAAGACTGAAGCCAAAGGTTCTTTGGACGAGGCTCCATCCAACCCACCAAAGCAAGGTGAGGTTAATGGTTTCATCTTGTCTTGCACCTTTCATTTACAGTCCTGTATTCCTATAATAGATGTTGGATATGACAAACTACTGTTAAATGGTTGGTTAAAGTGCAGACGGCCTTTCACATAACTATACCCAAAATGAACAACATCCATCTCGTCTATGGTCCAGGGCTTTGGTATATTTTTACTGACATTCCCATGTTGGAAAGTGCAAAGCAAGACTCTTAAGACTTTTTCTGCCAGTAGACAATATCATAAATTTGTTTTTGCTTTAATTCGATTGGTGTCAATGGATCTGTTAAAACATTTCATGTGCTGATCCCTCTATATTATAAGGACTATTTTTTTCTGTTTTTGTAATTGCATTTCCATATTAAGATTAATTTGCACATGCAATTCCTATTTATTTCTTCCTCAGTGAAACTGTGAAAGTAAAGCTTATGGCTTGCCACTTACTAGAAGTAACATATCTTACTTAGAATGACAGTGTGTTGCTGACATATTACCCTTGATATGATGATATTCTGTAGCAGCTAGGTTGTACTTAATTTAATTATCTTTGACAATTTTTAATGTTAATTGAGATTTTTGTTTCCAACTCTAATGGGCTAACCGGCTAATGTTATTTTGGTTGAAACCAATGTTCCATTTTCTAATTATGTCTCAACTATGTAGTTCATGGACACATTAGGATACTCTTGGATCTCTCTATAATTTAGATTGTTCAAATTTTTATTGTAAAATTACTCTTATTGTGGTGCAGGCGATATCCTTCTATACCCTGTTACTGTTAAAACTCACGGGGGTGAAAAGCTAGAGTTACAAGTAAGACACATATTACCGTTATTTGTTAGTAATGTTAATTATGCCATTCTGTCTTGAACTCTTCATTCTCTTGATCTCCTTTTCTTCTGGCCATGTAAAATTATCTTTATTATATTATTGTACTTTGAAGGGCTAAATCCTATTTACAGTATGTTTAATGTCACTTTATGTCATATTACCCGAAATAGCTCAATGATGTATACTAATCTTCTCATGACCATAATAGGACAAAATGACTACCTTTTATATCAAAACCCAGAAAGTGTTTTGTTCCATAGTTCTATTTTATTTATTGTTTATTTAATTTATTATTTGTGGATGCTCAATGCTTTCTTTAATCACGGGCTTGCGGTTGCAGCTGAGTCCTGGTGATTCTGTGATGGAAGTGAAGCTATTTCTTCTTGAAGCTCCAGAGACATGTTTCATTACTTGTTATGACCTTTTATTACACACTAAGGAAGGGCCTTATCATTTAGAAGATTATAATGAAATTTCGGAGGTGGCTGATATAACATCTGGAAAC